GTAAACTGTAGTTGGTGGACTGAAGCTGTGATATCATAGGAGCTGGTGAAATGTGGCTGTTGTGGTTCAAATAGCTACTCCATGCCGTTAGGCTTGTGAGGGTTGAGAACAACAGAATCAGGGAAACACCTCCGAATCATCGGAATTTGATTCCAGTCAGAAATCAAATTTATTTTCAAAATCAACTGCAAACACAAATGAGTTTCCCAATAATGAAAATCATTTGTGTTTACAATTGCATTTTAAAAATCAATTCGATCCCTGAATGGAATCGGATTCCGATGAATCGGAAGTGTTTCCCTAGGCTCTGTTGTTCTCTATCCACAGCACCAGGTTGAACCCTCTTGTGGTATTGCAGCTGATATGTCCCTACTACTAGTTTACTGGTTGTTGAACTAAACACAGTATAATTACATGTATATTATTATTTATATAGTTTTCTGTAGTAGCACACACTTTTTTCATGCAGTTACCTGTAATAAGCTATTGTGGAGTATTATCTTTATTGTTATTATCATTATCTTTATTGTTATTATCAAGAGTAGTTAATTAGTTATGTACATAAATGTCAAGACTTAACTTATCTTTAGTGATTGGAGGGAGGGAGGATAGTAGTTGGTTTGTGAGACTGGAGGAAAGACATCTGATTATCCAAATAGTATTCATTTTACTAAGCACATGACAGAAAAGTCATCGATCTATCATTGTACCTAAGGTGTGGCCTACTTACACTGGAGTATAAAACGAGCTGCATTCACTAACTTTGATTTACCCTTTGATCCATCGTCATCCTGTAAGTCAATGTGTATACACGGTAGTGACTATTTATCATAATTATCTCTCTCTTTCTATGAGTAGATTTAATTTCTAAGATTTTATTATTTATATTAATTTAAAGATTCGTAAAATGATTCATAAACATGTGTACATGCATTGTTTGTGAGCTCCATGACTAACTGTCCATCACCTGTCAAAACATTCATTGTACTACAGTAAATCTTGTGATCATCAGTTATCATAGAATATAATGTACTGGTATTTGTATAAATGTACTCCCCCACTCCTGATCCAATTAGCTCATAATAACATCATCACTTGTGACTAATTTTAGAATTATAGACACGGTAGACCGAGTGATTATAAAACAAGTGAACTTCATACTATTTTGCACATTGTTTTCCGTTGGAAGCTTAATCCTAAAACCAACCGCCTTTTGAGTGCTTTCTTCTTGAGGATCTAGTGTCTTCTGTCTCTCCTGGCCATAATGGATCTCAGATTAATTGAAGTGTCCTTTAGGTTGAATTTAAGATCTAACAACAACATCATCAACCTAGCTACTCTGCTGGTATCATTACCAAGAGCAATAAGATCACGCAGAAATCATCAAACTAGAGCATTACCAGTTAATGATGACATTCCCTACCCAATTCAAGAAACAAGTCGTGATCAGCTACATACTGCTATACATCTTCCAGATGGGTAAGCTAAAACATGATTTTATCAGTGCACAATGATTATTACTGGTTTCTATTATGTATGTATACAGGAGGCTCATGCCATTAAGAGCATCCCAAGGACCTTCAATTGTCTGATGATGCCAGGGCCAGGAGAGACAGATGGAAAGCAGGCAATCGATATTGTGAGTTATGACTTTGATACAATGAGATTTTATACTTTACTTTTAATAGGGTTTTATAAAGTGTGACAGGTCTTATCCATAGGAACATACCTGTGTGAAGACAAGTGTTGTCGCACTTGACATGTGACAAGTTGTATCCATAGACCTGTTGTTTAACACAGGCCGTGGAAGAGAAGTCTTGTCGCATTTAACGTCTAAAGGTTCATATATACAGTCAGGCTGTTTGTGCCCCTGAAACTATTGTGGAGGTCATTAGTGCCAAGGAATCCCTCTACAACAGTTGTGTGCAAACCATTTTTAGCCACTGTGAGCTTCTATATGAACCCTTTACTTTGCACATTATGTAAAGTAAACAAGGAGACTAATAAAACCAAGAGTACCTTACGTATAGTCTTGGTAAAACGTGGAACATATTTCTAACGTTAATCATTAGTCTCTGAGGAATTGCAGCTTTACGAGTTTTTCCTCATAATGAGATGGAACTTGAACAAAGCGCATAGGGTAATTAGCCTTACATTGAGATGATCGTTATTGACATCTCATTAGAGTTACATACGTATGTAATTCATTTTTTTTCCTCACAATTAACCACATTGAAGGCATGTTGTGACTCTTAGCTAAAAGTCTCACAATTCAATGCATTGATTCAATGTGTGTTATAGACGGTTTAGAATTCCTTGGCAAACCATAGCAATTGTCTTGCCTACCATCTGTCTTTCCAGCCCTTGCATGACAGAACAGTAACATTTTATTAATGTTAAATGTCAATTTATGATTCTTTTTGTCATCTTTTTTTGTCACTGATCTTTTTGTCATCTTTTTTTGTCATTGATCTTTTGTGTGATCTTTTTTGGTAATCTTTTTCCCTCTTTATTTACTAACAATAACAATTTAACCAGCTAACTCAAACTGCTGAGCTAAGTTGTCGGGGGTTCCCAGGGAAATCACCTAATTAAGCTAAAATTGACAATAGTAAGACAATGGTTAAAGGAATGCAAATAAATGTCACCACATCAGAATCTTGCTCGTAAATATCAATTTGTCCTAAAGTTATAAATGTGAAATGAACAACATGTTGACACATTTAAATGTCCATACAATCCTAAGGAAAGGTGACCTCAGATGACAATGGATCTACAATCTATCATAATAGGATTCTCCATTGGAGTAGTAATAGGCTGGTCTATTAAGTGGTTTAGTAAAAGGGGCATGATTAATGTGCATGTTCAAATGTAGCTCAGCAAAATAAAGGTATATGTGTAGAGGCATTGTTTACTAGCAATAGATATTCTAAAATAAAGATCAAAACAATTCATAAACCTGTGTGCATTGTCTATACCAAACATAGCATATCAAATTATTCATTGTACTACATTATTATTGTTCTCTTCATGTGATCCAATTAGCTCATAATAACATCACTTGTGACTAATTTTAGAATTATAGACACAGCAGACTGAGTGATTATAAAACAAGTGAACTTCATATTTTGCACTGTTCTTATTACTCTCTATTGAAATCCTAATACTAAAACCAATCACTTTTATAGTCTTTTCTTCTTAAGGATCTATTAAATCTGTCTCTCCTGGCCATAATGGATCTCAGATTAATTGAAGTGTCCTTTGGGTTGAATTTAAGATCTAGCAACAACATCATCAACCTAGCTACTCTGCTGGTATCATTACCAAGAGCAATAAGATCACGCAGAAATCATCAAACTAGAGCATTACCAGTTAATGATGACATTCCCTACCCAATTCAAGAAACAAGTCGTGATCAGCTACATACTGCTATACATCTTCCAGATGGGTAAGCTAAAACATGATTTTATGTGCACGGATTATTACTAGTTTCTATTATACAGGAGGCTCATGCCATTAAGAGTATCCCAAGGACCTTCAATTGTCTGATGAGGCCAGGGCCAGGAGAGACAGATGGAAAGCAGGCAAAATCTTAAAGTGAAGTATAATTAATACAACAAGAAATTTTTATAAATTGATTTATTACTTTGATAGAATTTTATCAAGCGTTCAACAAGTTTTTTAATCATACAGTGAGTTATTGATACAAATTGAGAG